TGAGTAGTGCCAATGGATGCTCCATCTCCTCACAGGTCTGCCTCTCATCTATGGTGAGCAGCTATCAGGCAGAGAGCTCTGGTAGTACCACAGTTTCCTTCCTCTAAAGCAAAGATATTTCCTCTATTCCCACAGTTCTCTGTTGAAGACTGTTGTCCAGACATAGCCCTGCCTTTGCAAAAAGTGCAGGTTTTTCCCTTTTTTGTTTTTTTTTTGGTTTTTTTTTTTTTTAATTTAGAACATAATTTAAATAGATGCTTTCTCTAGCCAAGCTTTTGGCTGCCTCAGATCCACAACCCACATGCCTGTACTTAAAATATGTCAGATTTCCCCCGGATGTGTCCTGCTTTTGAGGGTTTTGGCCACGAGCTGGAGGTTTTTGGATCTTGGTGATCCCAGGCAAATGGCAGCTGTATGGCACAAATGAACTGCACAGTGATTTGTGAGCTGCTTCTCTGGTATCCATGGATATAGCAGAGCCACTGTGGGGCATGTGTGTGTTTGTGTGGTGACTCCAGTGCCATTCAGGAGGGTCTCATGTGACAGACAGCTCTGCTGTAACCTGCAAACAACTCTGGGATTCCTGGGGTGCAGGGACCCCGTGTGGCACTGCGTTACTTACCTGAGTGCCAGAGTCTAGCAGGAGGGTTCTGAGGGCACAGAGGGGTAAGGCACAGGAGGATTCTGGGACAAAATTCAGGAATCTTGAGCAGGCTGTTGCTGATCACCAAAGGAATGCTCCTGAGGTCCAGGCAGAACTCCTTTGAGTGTAATATTCTTTCCTTCTGATGCCCAATTGGGTCATCCAGCCATAGCTGAATGGGAGCAGGGTGGTGCAGGACACTTGACTGTAATAAGTCCTGAATGTGTTTTGGAACAGCTAGCCATTGAAAAGTGAATTTACTGAATTTAAAAACTGAGGTGAAAAAAGATTTCAGAGGGCAGGAGTCAGAAATTTAGTTTTAGAATAGTGAAATATCCTGAGTTGGAAGGGACCCACAAGAATTATTGAGTCCATCTCCTGGCCCTGCATGGAACAGTCCCAAGAATCACACAACTTAATTCTACTTCTCCAAAGAAATTTAAATAATGGCTAATGCAGCAAATTCTGGAGGAGAAAGTAATTACAGACAAGAGAGGTAGATGAAACCTGGAATCTAATTAAATGAGTTTTTACCATAAGTAGTTCACAGTCAAATAAATGGGTGGTTCTTTGATGAAATAACTAATGTATAGGCAAGGAAAAAATGAAATACGATCTAGGTGAATCTTAATTGAATGGTTAATGGCACAATGGAAACCATCAGCTCAGCTGGAAAAGATAAATGTTGCTCAGGAGAAAAAACATGGTGAAGAAGGTATGCAAGGAATTAGTGGGCATGCTAGTAGTAATGTCCAAGGTCAGGCACTGAGCTGGAGTACAGCTGCTTTTTAAGAATTTTGGGGGCAATTTTTTTTTTTTGTAATGACTTTGAGTAAAAATACAGAAATGTGGAAATATTAGTGAGAAGGCATCATCAGTAACTATGTGAGGCAGAATAGCTTGCAGAGGAGGAAATTATGAACTTCCAATATTGCAACTGCTTGAGTCTTCACAGAATGGGTCAGGCTGGACCCTGACAGTGGCTCATGTAGTGCTGCCTCCCTGCTCCAGCAGGGCCATGCCAGAGCATAGGGCACAGGGTTGTGTTCAGAGAGCTCTGGAATATCCCCAGTGAGGAGACTCCACACCTGAGTCTGAACTCAGACTGTGGACTGGAGAGTCTGAACTGAACTGTACTGAACAGTCTGTTCAGTGCTGGGTCACTGCCCAGGACAGAAGTTGTTCCTCCTGCCCAGGTGGAACCTCCTGGGCTCAGTCCCTGCCCGTGGCTCTGGTGCCATTGCTGGGCCCCCAGAGCAGAGCCTGGGCCCTGCTCGGAGCCCTCCCTGCAGAGGCTTTTAATTTACCAAGTCAAGTATCTTTTATCCCGAGATCTTTGAGCCAGGATCATAAATAATTCCCAGCAGGACTGAACTGACAGACCTGTGGTTTCCCATTGCTTGTAAAAGACATTTCCCAATAGAGGTTAAATCCCTTCGTGTTCAGTCTAGACCTACTAAGACACTGTTTTTCTCATCATCTTCACAGAACTTTTATATTTAAGGTGCATGAAACACTTAGGAAGCTGAAATGTGTGAGGCTGGAAGTCACAGGGGACAGCAGCACACAAACATTTTCAGACACTGGTGCTACCATGTATTTGTTCACTCAAGTACTTCTGGAAGGAGGAGCTTGAACAGACAATGCAGAATCCACCATTTGAAGGTAATGGAAAAGTTTATTGGTACTTTTGTAAAAGGAAATAATCTCTATAATACATAATTATAAATATTTATAAATATTCTGCAGGATTTAAATAAATAAATAAATACTGTGACATAAATAAGTAATGTTTTCTTACTAGCTGGTGATTGCCAGCATCTCCACTGAAGAATAAATTCTTTTAAGTTTTGATACAGTTGCCTATAGTTACAAATATGGTTGTTTGATGGAAAATCCACCATGTATTCAGTCTTAGCTTACTTATCCCCTGGGTACTGATAGAGTGAGCAATCCTTCTGACTCTGTTCTAGTGTAGGAATTTAGAGATGGTCTATACATTTAACCCCACCAATACTTCCATCAAAATTTAATGTGGACAGAGCTTTTAATGGTTCCAGTTATTGTAGGGCAGCTGCCTTAGAGTCCTAGAGAGGAGCTCTGTGGAGCTTCCAGCAATTAATGCAAAATACAAACTTTGTTGGTGTACTTGAAGTCCAGAGCTCTCAAGGAGCAAAAGCCAAGAATAAAAGTATAGGAATTTGGTAAGGAGATCAAACTAGAACATAAATAAGATCACACCTCTCCACTGTATAGAAAGCAAGTTAAAAAGTCATGCTGTATTTTGAATAAGTAAGCAAAAGCACAACTGTCTGCCTGCCTGCAATTCCCTTAATTCCTTAGAATCACTCTTTTTCTTCAGAAATTAATTTAAAAAAACCCACGACAACTTTAGAAAAACAAATTGCAAGAGATGGAACTCTTAGACTAATCCTGATCATTTGGCTTGTCCTGTTCTCCTAAGTATTTATATTAATTAGGAATATCTCCATCTAGGAAAACTATTCTAAGAGCAGAATCAGGGACCTATGACTTTTCCAACATAATGAGTTTGATGTGGTAGAGAAAGAGACATCGTGTATATATACAAATATGGGGGGGAAAAGAGATTATTTTAAAAGCTGTCAGCAGTCCTGCTGCTGTGCTAAATCCAGAAAAAATTAAATGAAAGCAAGAAGCACAGGGGGTTATTATTTTGATTTTGCTGCACTGGTGTAACTCCAGTGGCTTTAGTGAACTGCTTCATGAAAGGAAGAAAGAACAGCATCCAACCTAATGTTTTTTTGTATGTTGCTGTGAGCACACTGAGGAGCAGTGTACCACTTCAAATTGTTGTCAGGCTTATAAATACTCTAAATAATCAGAGCAGATGAATCTGTGTTTTGACATGCAAAAAACCCCCACAAAATAAAAACCTCAAATCTCTGCTACACTGGATTTTGTGCTGCTCAGTACCTTGCACCTGATTTCTGCAGAGTTCATCAAGAATAGCTTTTTCAAAGTGAACTTACCCAAAGCATAAACCAAACTAGGGAAAAGGTTTTGTCACCATTAGAGATCTCCTGATTAATAGTAATTTCACTCTTATAAGTTTAAAGCATCTGATACCTGCTCAGAGCTGAATACAAACATGGATGCTAACTGGACATTCCTTTTCTGAATGCAAACCTAATTTTCACTCATTAGATGAGAGTCTTCATTATAGTCTAAATATGAATCCTTTGATCCTTATAAAACATCTTTTTTTTTATTTTTCCCCTGTAGAGTTCAGTATTATGTAAAACAAACTGTCCTGTTTAACACATACTGATTATTATTAATCCTGGTACTTCTCTCTGAGTTGGAAAAATGCAAAACTAATGATCTTTATTTCCATATTGGGATTCTAGAATTTAGAAAATGTGGAACTGTGATAGAGAACAATTGAGAGAGAGTGAGACTCTCCTCTTTTTTTTCAAAACCTCAGCTTGGATTCAGTGTCAGAATTTGCTCTTTTTCCACAGGACCCTTTAATCCTGTCCTGTTGTCCTGTCAGTTCCTCCAGTTTTCTGTATGTGCTGCTCCTATAACAGCAGAGTGCCTTTTTTTGACTCATATGGGTCAAGAGAGAATGAAGCTCCAACTTAAACGCTAAAAACAAAGAATCACAGGTTGGAAAGGACCTCAAGGCTCATCCACTCTACCCCTCTGCCATGAGCAGAGACACCTTCCACTATCCCTGGTTGCTCAGAGCCCCATCCAGCCTGGCCATGGACACTTCCAGGGATCCAGGGGCAGCCTCAGCTGCTCTGGGCACCCTGTGCCAGGGCCTCAGCACCCTCACAGGGAACAATGTCCTCCTGATACCCAATTTAAACCTACTCCTGTCAGGGTGAGGCCATTCCCCCTTGTCCTGTCTTTGCAGTTTCTGACTAAGAGCTCCTCTCTATCTTCCTTGTAGCCCCTTCAGATATTGGATATGTGACATGATAAATTTTTATATAATAAAATAACACACCACCTGGCAATTTGTCTGCTGTGCTTGGACAGGATGGTGCTAGTAAGAGATTCCCTGTCTCTGCTGGAATATCGGATGCTCCAGGTCTCTACATCAGTAACATAACATCAGTTTCCCATTTCATACAAGAGATTCTTTTTTTTGTTTGTTTTCATCATTGATGCAAACTTAAGGTGATTCAGACCTCAAAAGGTTTGGTTTGTGTTATTCTTTTCAAAAATGGATCTTCTTTCCATTAGAGCCTGGACTGGAAAAATCTAACTTGTACTTACAGACAACAGTTTAGTGAAAAAACAAGATTTGAAGCTAAGGAACTTCTCCCAATGTCTCCCAGGTTTCTAAGAGCCACCTTGGCATTCAGGCTGAGTGTGACAGACGGTTCCTTTTGCCCTTGTCTTCACCTGGTGAGCGCAGGGGCCGCGGTTATCTCGTGATGTAGAAGCGGGGGCTTGGGTACCTCCTGGCCTCCATCATTGCGTGGGGATCATCGGGGTTCACCACGTCGTTCTGGTTGATCCTCATGGGCTCCCTGGGCATGTGGGGAAAGTCTGCTGGCTGCTGCTGCAGGGAGCCAAACACTGGGGTCTTCCTCTGTGAGACCAGGATCTGGTGAGGATCTACGGGATCAACATCTGCACTCCTGGTGTGCCTGTGGGGCTCGGGGGTGTTGAATCGGAACAGAGGGATCTCATTCTTCCTGGACAGAAACTGGGAGTATGGTGGTGGATTCATACCAGGGGAGAAGACTTGTTTAACTCTGCCTAAGCTCACCAAGAAGTGGTGTTTGGGGGATTGGTACACATCGTACCCATTTTCCAGCGTCCTGTGGTTGAACATGCAGTCCTCTTGGCTGAAGTAATGCTGATGGAAAAAAATAGGACACTTGTGAGCAGAGGAGTCTGGTGAATTGCAAACACTGGTTAAAGAGGGAAAGAGGGGTGAGATCTTGCAGCAGGTGTTTTTCTAATCTCCCAGGTCCGTGTCTGATCCAAATGTAGATCAGAGTTGCAAGTCCATGCTTTCAGCAAAGGAATTTTAATGCTAAACCCTGTTTTCTCCCAGAGGGTCCCCACCCATGGCTCTGTGCTACAGATTGGTACCTCACTGGATCTCATTTCTGTAATATGGAAAAGCAGGGGGTTTTGCTGTTGTTTTTGTTGTGGGTTTTTATGTTTGGTTGGTCGGTTTTGTGGTCTTGTTTTGCTTTTCTTTTTGTGCTCATTAACCCAGGCAGGACCTCAGATGATTTTTGTCAGCTCTACTACTTAATACAATCAAAGCAGAGAGTAAAATTTGACCTAAGTGTCAGATCTTCTTTAACACTTCCCCCTCCACCTGCAGCTACCCAGGCTTGTCCTGGCTGGGGAAATGGGCACCACAGCAGCAGAATGCACTGGTCATTGAGCCTCAAGACTTGGGAAAGGTCACTCACCGAGCCAAATATATTTCCTTTCATGTCCATACATAGGTAGCGTCCACTCTTCACACCTGTGATTATTACTGAGCCAGCACCCTCAGACTTGATCATTAGGGCACCTATTGAGAACAACAAAAACATCAAATCCATTTCAACATTACATTTACAGATCCACAGATTCTCTGACTAGAAATGACCTCTGGGAATTCAAACCAACCTCCCACATGACCTGGGACTGGTGCCCACCCTAAATCAGGTTTGCTGTGGCTTTGAAAAGCTCCCAGGATGAAGGGCACCTCTCTGGGTGCCCTGTTCCAATGTGGCACTAACCTCCTAAAGACAACTTTTTTCGCTCTGAAGTCCCAAATCGTGGTCTGAGAACATTGCCCTCAGTTCTGCCATTGCCCACATCCAGGGGCAGTTTGTCCCCCTCATCTTTGTGACTGCCCTGGTGGTATCTTTTCAGTGGTGCTCAGCAGTGGCACCAGAGGAATGGGCAGGAACTGATACTCAGGTGGAAGTTACACCTGGACAGGAGGCAGAACTTCTGTCCTGTGTAGTGGCTGAGCCCTGAACAGATTGTCTGGAGAGGGTGTGGAGTCTCCTCCACACCTGGGGATATTCTAGAACCATGTGGACACAATCCTGTGCCCTGTGCTCTGGGATGGCTCTGCTGGAGCAGAGACGTGGGACCAGGTGACCCACTGTGGTGCCTTTCACCCTCAACCAGTCTGTGATTCTGTCATTACATTGCCCTTAACATCCTTTTTGCTGGACTAAAACTACAACAGATCATGATCAAGGCCCCCTGAAAACCCTGTGCCAGACCAGCCCCATCTTCTACTCATGCAGCATGCACTGGGGTTGCTGTAGTGCTCCAAGAGCAATGTTACTGGTGCCAGGTAAAGTGGGAATAACAACTTTGCTTGATCTGCTCCTTGCATTTGACTCAGTGCCTGTTGCCTTGTCCCACCCAGGAGATTGCACTCAGGCCATGCCACCCTGCTGCAGAACTTGGCATTTCTCATTGTCTGGTGGCTCAGTGGCAGCAAATCAGTCACCCTCCCTCTCAATACCCCTTTTGTTGTCTGATTTCCTTCTTTCCTGCTCCACCATTCTGAATCCTGCTATGCTTGTTTCATGGCATATATGGAAAATGTGATATTTTGCTGTCTGTTGTTCTCTAAAATCCCACACTGGTTCTTGACCAACATACCTAAAATGAGTTGTATAAAATCTTTTAATATGTAGGAAGAATAACAAGACAATGCCAGCATTTCTGTGAGTGTTGCATTATCAATTCCTTAAAAAAATAGCAGAATGTGATACTTTTTCCTCATCAATTAAATTATAACTTTAAAAAACATTCTTATTTACTTATATAAAAGCTTCATTACTTAGGCTTAGATTTTTAACTGAGTGTATAAAATAAATGTAATCCTAATACTAATGATAATAACAACAAGAAGATTTTTACAACTTAGATTTTAAATGAGTGTATAAAATAGATGTAATAATAATAGTAATTATAATAATAACAACAAGAAGCTGATTTTATAATGCATAGCTACTTGTGATTTGAATGCTGCTAAGAGATAAGTATTTTTGAAATGCTATAAAAGTACCCTAAGTCTTAAACCCCTCCTACATTTGTCTACTAACTAAAGAGTTTGGGCCAAGCATTTAGCAAAGGAAGAAGAATAAACTATTCTCTGTTTAAATAGAATAATAAAATATATAATAAAATAAACTGTGAAGACACAATTTGAGAACCTTTTAGTGATACTAGGGCATAGTTTTTTCTCATGAACCCCAAAGGCTTAACCCTTCTTTTATGCCAGTCTGGTCTTTCATAGTTTCCCCCTTTTTAATTGATCTTTGCATGCCTGTGTTCTTTGCACATTGAAACTTAACTTTTTAATAGTTTTCATCCCTCCACTCCAAAATACAGATTTTATGGATGCCATCAGTTTTCCAGCACTGCTCTGGTGAGTTCCCTCAGTGCAATTCCTTTGGTATCACCATCAGTGGGAAGTAGCTATTTGGAGCATATCATTACCAACCTCTAATAGGAACTTCCACCAGAAACTGGGGGTAAAATCATGAAGTGAAGGATAATTCAGGTGGTTTTTCCTTGCAGGATATTATAAGAACCATAGGACTTTAGTTATCCTAGGTAAGGAATGAAAATCCCTATCCACTCGATTTCTTTGGAGCGATTTTATTTGTTAAACAAAAGGAGAATTATAATGATGTATATTTTCCATCCCATGGCTGTGCTCCTCTGCCTGCCTGCCTAGTGAGAAGAAGGGATTTTCTATAGGTGGTGAGGAAGTAAAAAATCTCATTGTCCCTCCCCTGCTCCCATGGAGGTCTGTAGGAAGCCACTTACTGTAGATGGTTTGGTGAGGAGCGCCATCGATGTAGCCATCAGCGTTGATCTGGAGGTGGAAGCTGCTCCTCTCGGTGTCGGTGTAGAGGTGCATCAGGCGATCTCCATTGCCCCAGCTGGGACTCAGCAGTGGAGAGGAGTTGGGAAAGGCAAGGGAAGCCTTTAGGCTGCAGAGCAGCAGGAGCAGGGAGCTGCAGGGAATGCCCTGGAGAGTGGCTCTCCACTCCATGGTGGGTCAGCGTCTGCTCCTCACCTCCCCTCGTGCCTGGAGTTTGAATGCTCCAACAGGATCCCTTCTTCTCTGCAGAGGCTTATAAAGGACAGCAACATGACATCACACAGGAAAACCGTCTCCACATCCTTGATTTTTGGCAAAGCAACATTTTAAGTGTCCCGAAACCTCAAGGGAAGGATCTCTGGCTAAGGTGTGTGGGGGAAAAATATAAGGTTTCTAAAGACAGCTCACGAAAGCTAATCATATGTTCAAATGTTATCTACAACCCTGTGACATCTGAAAGCTTCCCACGCCTCTACTGTTGGATCCAGGAAGAGCAATCCACTGCACTTGAACTGAAGGGAATGACCCTTCGGACCTGAATTATCTTTCTTTTTTGCCAGATGTGTTTATTCAGACTTCCACCTTCCCTCACCGTTTCCAAGCTGCATTCTGATTTAGTGGAAACATCAAATACAGCTAAAATTTTGTTGCAAATGTACCAAAAGTTAATATTAAGTTGTCCTGAGCCTGATTCCCCCTTTATTATGGTCCAAGTTCCACACCAAGCCTGTTGGGCTGATATTTGTGTCACTTGATTCAAGTGAAGGGAACTTGATATGAGCAGAGCCTACTTCAAGTCCCTTTTATTTCTTCTGTTTCCTTCTGAATCACATAAATAATCTAAAGTTGGCCAAAACCAGCTGAAAATAATGTGTAAAACACTTAAAAGCTGGATGTTTGCTCCTGCATTGCACATCTGGCTGGCAGTTTGTAAAAAAATGTTCCAAGATCCAAGACCTGCTTCTCAGGTGTCCTGCCAATGTTGTGCATCTTTACAAACAAATTTTCTGATTTAAAAAAGAGATTGTTCTATTTATTGCATGAAAATGCTGTACTAATGGGACACTGGATATGGGTGAATCAATTATAGGAATGACAGGTTCCAAAACTGGACTGTGTTAAAGTTCCTTTCCAAATTTAATATAAACTTGACAGAAGTACCAAACAATAAATGAATATTTCTTTAATGAAACCTGAAGATTTTAACTGTAGCAGTCTTAGGTTCAGTTTTAGTCTCTAGCTGGACATAGCATGAAAAATTCTTTGTTTCATTAACAAGCTGTGGAGCTATATCATCAGCATATAATGGATTGATAACATTAATGGATTGATATAGCTGTAACCCCTGCAAAACTGGATCTAAATTTGGTTTTTTTTATTGTTTAAAATTAGCAAAACCCTGCCAAATTCTGCTGCCACACCTGTGTAAATCCAGAGACTTGCGTCAGAGTATATTCACCTTGTGTAAATGACAGCACTTTTTAGCCAAAGTGTATAAGGGTCAGATCTTAAACTGAGCAGGCTGACAAAGATGGTTGCCCTGAAAGACAATCCAGGCCTCAGATGTTTTACTAGTTATAACATCTAAAATGCTTTAAATTAAAAGGTAGCTTAGAAGGAAAGGAGAGTTACTTTTAAATTAAATATCTCTATTTACTGTTGAAATTATCCACCCATATTTTTCACTCTGGTCTTAGAAGAAATGTTTGGGTTTTTTGATTGATTGATTGGTTGGTTGGTTGGTTGGTTGGTTGGTTGGTTGGTTATTCTAGTTTTTTTCTTTGCCCCTTTGATTAGACTCCTGTGGAAATGTGGATATTGATACCTCAGTTGCAGAAGTGTCTCACAGAGGCACTGTACCCTCTTGGAATATTCTGTCATTCTTTTGGGACTTTAATTTTCCTGTTTTGATGTTTCATATTCACCATGACATTTTGCTGTGCTTGCCAGCATGCACTGATCTGATCTTTCTCCAGTGCCTTGGTGGCACAGAAAACATTCTCAGATATCTGAAAAATTTATTGAACCTCATTTAAGCACATGCCAGTTGTGATCATCTGTTTCTTATTTTATAATAATCAGACAAGCAAAGGTTACTTTTACAAGCTTAAATTGTTTAGCATTTTCTAAAGTTTCCCACAGCATCAGGAAAACTCCAGACTTTACTAAGTTCTGTTTAATCTGGTGGGCTAAAGTGAATTTATTAAGTCCCTGCTTGTGAGAATGATAATACAAATTCTGCTTTTTCATAGACTTTATTGCTTTAAACCTAGAAATGCCCACTACATGTGGTTTGTTGTGAGTTTTTGGGTTTTTTTACAGTCCATGTCTTTTTTATTTTAGGCTGATCTATTTATTCCTTCTGTGGCTATTTCACTTATCCTCTACCCATTCAGCTGTTGATGGGGTAGCCAGGTGTATGAAAGCTGCTTTACTCCTTCAGCCAAGTCTGTTATAGTAGAAGTGCTGACAGCCTTTCTTGTCTTGCATGTTATTGCATCAGCAATAACAATATTTATGCAACTTTTACCACAGGAGTTGGTATTGATTTTTCCTATTTCTACATTGCTCTGTGTCTTGAACTGCGGTAGCTTTTCTTAGTTCTCAGCTAAGAAATTGCTGATAATTAACAGAAATTGCTTGTTGTAGGGAGAAATAAAAGGGGAAAAAATGGGATTGAATTTAAAGATCACAACCGTGTTACACTGCCACATTTTCCACTTCCCACTGCAGGGGTGCTACACTGCCAGTATCAGGTGCCACAGCGGTGCGGGGCCATCCTTAGATGTATCCTGGAAAGGGAGCTGGGACACAGCCTGGAGGAGATACCACCTGTTGTCAATGTCAGGAACCAAGGTAAAGGGAGGAAATCCTCACTCCAGAGCAAAAGATGAAAGAAGATGGATAAGACAGACCCCAGCTTTCAGGATTAAATTTATTTAAGATAATCATTAAGCAATCCGGTCTAAGGGGGAAATGTCCCTGCCCATAGCAGGGAGTTAAAACAAGATGATTTTTGTGGTCCCTTTCAATCCAGATCATTCTGTGGTTCTTTGATTGTTGCTCCAACCCTTAGTGGGTCTCACTCCCCTCCCTGCCATGTCTTTGTCCCAGGTCTACTCTTGCTGCCTCCTGCTCCTTGCTCCAGAAGCAGCTCAGCTCAGGTTTAGCCAGGTATTCTGGTCATTCATCTGGGCCAGGTGCCTCAGCTGGAACATGGATGACACTCAGGCCTCCCTGGTATCATCATTTAACTGCAAAAGGGTACACAGAAGGAACTGAGGGTCACAGGAGCAGATTGAGGTCTGACTTTCCCCCATTTTGACTGCTTTGAGTTTCAGCTTTAGGTCATTTTGCAGTCCAAATTTACCACCTCAACTCTGTAAAGCCCTCAGCAGCTAAATGTCATTCCTTGTGCTGCTTTCTTTTACTGCTTATCCCCTCAGTTCTGGAGAGAGCTCACAAGGCAAAGGCAAGCTCTTTTTACAACAGATTGAAGTTGCTACAAGTGACTTGCAGTTACCTTTTGGAAGGGCTTTGTGGACCATCAGAAATTTGCGGGTTAAAAAAAAAAAAGTTCTCTACTCAATCTAATGGATTTGCCTTCCAGGATTCTCCTATGAGTAAAACTACACGTCCCCTCACAGTGCTGGAGTTCCTTTCATCACGTAGGAGCACCTGTAGCACTCTTGCCTAATAAAGCATATTGACTTATACGTAAACAGGTGGGTGGCTTGCCCTTTTGCAGCATTCTGTGCCATCTGAGTGCCTGTGCTGGCCTCAGGAAGCCTCTTGCTCTCTGCTGCTCAGCTCACACAGGAGTTTGGGTGGACAGATTCCAAACTACCTCTGCTTTTAATAATTTCCTTTGCACTGCATCTCTTCAAAAGAGGTCACAGAAATCAGGAGCCTGTCCCTCTGCCTCCTTGAAATCACTGTTACAAGTGGCTCTGGGATGATCGCACCCCCAGTGCTGGAAGCACAAGGGTGGAGTGCCTCTCCAGCAGTTATTCTAGGAATACTGACGCACTGAGCCGAGGGAATGTACAGTGGATGCTCTCTGTGTATGTGTGTGTGTGCAGTTGTCTTTGCCACAGACTTCACCCGGTGTTGTTAAACACATCCTGAGTGACCTTATTTGGAGGCCCCATTCTTGTCACACTGCCCACGACTAAAGAAAACATCCTGGCTCGGCTCACCTACGTGAAAAAGATGAGGTAAGCACAGCCCACTGGGTTCGGGACCGCAGCATGTACCAGCAGTTTCTGCAGTGTGCCGGCTCTAATGAACTGAAATGAAGGGCCTCATTCCTCCTCCAGCTGAAATCCTTGGCACAGATCCCAGGCAAAGCAGAACCAGTCCCTAAAAGGTTTTGTTTTCTGAACAGAGAGTGTTTCTGTCATTTTAAGGGGTCTGAGTTTTCTTAGGTGTTGTGGGAGAGAGGACTGGTACAATTTGTGGTGAGAGCTGCTGATACCCTCAATTTCCAAAAAAAAAAAATCATAGAATCACAGAATGGCCTGTTTGGAAGGGATCTTAAAGATCATTTCATTCCAACTCCCTGCCATGGGCAGGGACACCTGCCATTATCCCAGGTTGTTCAGAGCCCCATCCAGTCTGGCCTTGGACACTGTCAGGGCTGGTGCAGCCACAGCTTCTCTGGAAAACCTGTGCCAGGGCCTCATCAACCTCACAGTGAACAATTTCTTCTTAATATTCCATCTAACCCTGCACTTCTGTCAGTGTGAAGCCATTCTCCCTTATCCTGCTGCTCTAGGCCCTTGTCAAGAGTCTCTCTCCATCTTTCCTGTAGCCTCCCCTCAGGTCTGGAAGGCTGAAAAATGTTCTAGTTTGGTGTTAAGGCTTGTAAGGCCTGAAGTTTGTCTGGATTCTGAAATTTGCCCTGTGCACACCCAGTCCTGCTGACCTGCCTGCCCAGGCACTGTGTCTTGTCTGAGAAAGTGTCACTTTTCTCCTGGTGTGCTTGCTTCCAGGTACAAAGGAATCCTGGGGACGCAGATACACAGCCTCAACGAGAAAGTCACTTCAGTCATCCATCTCCTATTGTAATATGCTACAAGGTGCCTAAAAGCAGGCTGATGGTTTTATTTTGGGAAAACTCTTCGGTTTATGTAAAGTTTCCTATTTCCCAACTGTGCAATCTCAGCTTGGACTAGAAAGA